AGCTAGCTAGCCTAACCTCAGCACTCGCCTTTTCCCGATTACATTTTTTTTCCTTTTCATGATTGACAGTGGTGAGGCCGTGCCTTCCCTGCCTCCCCTGACTGCCCGTCACTGATATCAGGGGATGATTATTTATGTGCCTGAGGGAAAGAACACTTTTGTTTTTATGGATTGTTGTGAGCTGGCCATATTTCAGGAGAAAGAGGGGGGAGAGGGAGGAAGAGAGGGCAGGAGAAAAGAAGGAAGAGGAGGAAGAAAGGAAGGAAGGAACGAACAAACAAAGGAAGGAACAAAGGAAAGATCTATAGGCATGTTTCCAAAAATTCAGTATCCTCTTTGATTTTCTTTCTTCCTTCAGCCTGGCTCCAAATGGCAGCTTACTAAACATTTCTGGTGCCCTTACAAGTGATAGAGGGAAATATACTTGCGTTGCTACCAATCCTGCAGGGGAAGAAGACCGGATATTCAGTGTGAATATATATGGTGAGCTTTGATTTTGTTTGTCGTTCTTCATCTGAGAAAATATGAGTCATCTTTCTCTTTAGATCTTTCCTAATTTTAAGGGACAAAAAGATAGCAACAAGCACTTAGACTTATACATCCACTTCATAGTGCTTTACAGCCCTCTCTAAGCAGTTTACATATTCAGCATATTAGCCCCAATAATCTGGGCCCTCATTTTGCTGACCTCAGAATGATGGAAGGCAGAGTCAACTTAGAGCTGGTCAGAATCGAATTCCTGGTAGTCGGCAGAATTAGCCTGCAATACTACATTCTAACCACTGCGCCACCACAGCTCAGGCTAAGATGATAGGATTTTATATGAATTTAATCATTACTAAATTAAGATTTCCCTCTTTAATGTTATATAGCTCAAAAATTTTTAATTACCTTTGAGTTACATTGGAAAATGACTCACTGAGAAATCTGTTTTAAAAAAGAGAAGCAGAAAAGAGTATGGCTCTACGAGGACACAACACAATTCATAAATATGAAGAGACAGTTGTTATCATTTGTGTCTTTTTGATGGATCACACTGGAAATGCTTTCGGGCTATGGACACGATTTATAAAGAATTTCCCCGTGATCTATTAAGGGGAATAGAAGGTTGCTGATCATGACATCTTAACATGATTTAGTTGGAATACTACGGGGAATCTGTCTTGGATAGGAAAAAGATTAATGCTGCCACCTTGGGGTTCAGCTAAATTGAACTACTTCACTGGGAATAATTCCAAATCTCCATTATTTAATACACCAACAATTTCTTTCCTCCTTGAGGCCCTTTTCTAAATTCTACAAATAGAATAATTAGATTGCTACTTGAAATGGGCCTGAGACCCTCATAGGTAATGTACTTGACTCAGTTCAGATAAGCAGTGGAGAGTTTTCAACCATATTTCGCGTATTTCATGATTTTTAAACTTTTTCCAGATTTTTTTGGTGATTTTTCTGATTGCTACGTTTTATAATAGCTCTTGTTCTGAATAGAGATAGTAGATCAGAGGTTGGCACTCCCGTTGAGCTAATGCTCACTGTCCATATTGACTGAGGTTATTGGTAGTCAAAACTGAAAATAAGTTATAGGGCTTATTTCCACTTTGATTTTGAGACTCATTTTAAAATAAATGCTAACCAACGAGGTTAGCCCAAACGTTTCCTGGGTTATCTCCACTGTGTTGGAAATGTGGAAGNGGCAATATGCTGACTCTGTAAACCGCTTAGAGAGGGCTGAAAGCCCTATGAAGCAGTATATAAGTCTAACTGCTATTGCTATTGCTATTGCTAAGTTCTGAATATTACTAGGCATATATAAAGTAATTGGACTTGGTTCATAGATTTCAGAACTATCTGCCATTCCTTTCACATTGTCCATGAAGATTGGGGTATCTTGGACAGCGTGGAAGTTGGACACTGGGAAACTAAAGAGAATTTCCTCATGGTTTCATTCCTGACTGAAAATGAATGTGTGCAGTGACAAACTTATATCCAACCTCATGTTTCTGTATATTTGTGTGTGCAAATTCAGCCGGACACTGTTCCTTGTGTTAAAGTGCACCTGTTCTTTTTATCTAAGTTGATGGATATATGGTGTTTGCTAGTTCATGATTACACAGAGTGTCTTTTTGTAATCAGCTATAGAAGAAACAATTATATAGAACATATATTCTTGAACATTTGAAAATTAGGAAAATAATGGAGTAGCAGTCAGCTTTTGAGACTGGAAAACATTGTCAAGAAGAGCTTTACCAGTTTGTGAAAGCTGCTGCGCTAATCTATTTCAGTAATAGCAGCAAAATTAAAATGTAGATTAACAATTAAGAGTAAGTAGTATGTGACTAGCAATTTCCTAGTCCAAATTGTCCAATCATTTTCCAGTTCATATTTGACTAATATCTCTGTGAACAAGTTAATCAATAACCAAGAATTGGCTTCTCAAGTCTCAGACATTAGTCAGACAGCTGACACAGATCATGCTATGAAAACTGAGCTTCATATTAGAAAAAAATTAAGATTTACAGATATTAAACTGGACTAGAATGGACTAAATTATTTGAGGATTATAGGATCAGATTGTACTGGATATCCTATATCAAAATGTATTGATGTGCTTCCAGATTTAAAGCTTTCAGCCAAAGATGTAGAATGTGCATATAAAATATTTATTCTTAGATTCAATTTGGATGTGAAACAAGTGAAATGTTGATAAGATTTTTAAATCCTTTGGGTGAGAGGCAGAATTTTGCAAAAAGTCACCAATTAGGTTCAAGAAGGAATCTTTTATCAATATTAGTCCATCTAAAGCTTTCAAGACTATAATTGGAAGAACTATGAAAAAACTGAATACATTTTAAATGAGAGTTTCATTGAAAGCTAATTTTGTTTCAACTATAAGAAAGATAAACTATTTTAATACT